GTCATGCTCCATGGACTCTCCGAACTCCTCCCAGTCCCGGGTTTTTGCCTCTGCAACAGCCCGGGCCGCGGCACGCTTGGCCTGCCGGTACTGGACAGCTGCCTCAGGAGTCCCCCGAACCATCATGGCTCGATAGGACTCCTTCTTCAGCCTGACAGCATCCCTTACTGCCGGTGTCCACCACCGGGTTCGGGGGTTGCCGCCGGGACCAGCACCAGAGACCTTGCGACCACAGCTATGAGCCGCCGTATCGGCGATTGAGGCAGAGAACATGGTCCACTCGGACTCCATGTCCCCCTCCTCCGCCGGGACCTGGGAGAAACTCTCCCGGAGGTATGAGTTGAAAGTCCGTCTGACAGGGGGCTCAGCGAGACGTTCCCAGCAGACCCTCACTATACGCTTGGGTCTGCCAGGTCTGACCGGCTTCTTCCCCTGCCAGCGGATCCAACTCACGACCAGGTGATGATCGGTTGACAGCTCCGCCCCTCTCTTTACCCGAGTGTCCGAGACACGCGGTCGAAGGTCAGATGATACGACAACAAAGTCGATCATCGACCTCCGGCCTAGGGTGTCCTGGTGCCACGTGCACTGGTGGACACCCTTGTGCTCGAACATGGTGTTCGTGATGGACAAACCGTGACTGGCACAGAAGTCCAACAACTGAGCACCGCTCGGGTTCAGATCAGGGGGGCCGCTCTTCCCGATCACCCCTCTCCAAGTGTCACTGGCGTTTCCCACATGGGCGTTGAAGTCCCCCAGGAGAATAACGGAGTCCCCAGGCGGTGCACCGTCCAGTACCCCTCCCAAGGACTCCAAGAAGGCCGGGTACTCTACACTGCTGTTAGGCCCGTAGGCCGTCACAACAATGAGAGACTTGTCCCCCACCCGGAGGCGGAGGGACGCGACCCTCTCATTCACCGGGGAGAACTCCAACACGTGGCGGCTGAGATGGGGGGCAATGAGAATGGCCACCCCAGCTCGCCGCCTCTCCCCGCGGGAAACTCCAGAAAAGTGGAGCGTCCAACCCCTCTCAAGGAGTTGGGTTCCAGAGCCCAAGCTGTGTGTGGAGGTGAGGCCGACTATCTCTAGTCGGTATCGCTCAACCTCCCCCACGAGCTCGGGCTCCTTCCCCCCCAGTGAGGTTCTTATTACCACTAAATCAATTAAAGGTTATATTATTTTCTCACCGTGCACTTTTAGTTGATAATGTTTTCCGTGAAAGAGTGTTGAGAAGTAAAGCAAATCCTTATATTAGATAGCTGCATGAGATTATGAACACATAACTGTTACCTGTCAAACAGCAGTGTGTGCACTGTCTTTCCTCTCCATTCGTCCATTAGTATTCAGGATGTGTTGCAGTGTTGCTGCCCGCCACTCATTCCCCCGATAGCGAATCAGCCGGCGTTGATTAATTTCAGCCTATTAGCACCCCTAGTTCCCCTCCCCCGGCTCCGCCCAGGTTAAATCCCTCTGCACAGGCGCGTGCTCGTGCACAGGCGGAGGAGCTGCTGGGTGAGCGATGGCACAGAGGTTGCCAGGGAGCCAGTTGTTGTCAGAGAGATATTAATGAGTGTGCTGCTCCTGAGCCCTGTGTATTTACGCGAGCCTTAAGTGTGCCTCTTTCATTTTGGTGAATGCCAGCTAAAACTTCCCCAGTGTTATTGAGCAAGTGCACGTGCAGCTTTGTTAATGCGTCTGCAGCATAAGTCCATTTAAACATACATGGTGTGGTAGTGTGTCTGTCTGCAATGCCACGGCCTGAGGGACAGGACTTATACGACTGTGCCATGTGTATGCTGGCTCTGCTGAGGCCTGTCCTAGTTTCCTTTGCCTCACCAGGGAGACAGAGGATCCAAGGACTGTAGCACATCACCTGACAGCCGCCCCACTGCTCCACGGCCCTGATCTGTGTGTGAGAGAGATGTGAGAACGTGTTAGCAAATCCATCAGTACGGGTGTCAGGGCTGCGTGGAGGGCCTCATTGTATCTGAATACAGTGGCACTGTTGAGCCGAGTGAATGTTGGTGTTCTGTTCCCAGAGGTGTGTGGTAGGAGTGTGTGTGATTGTGTGTGTGATTGTGTGCGTGTGTGAAGTGAAGGCAATGTCATACTCTTCTTAACTAACTGGATTGCGGTGCCATTGCCATGATGTCTAAGAAAGATATACCTGATTACAGTATGTATGTTACTGTTTTGATGTATGTACTTCAAGTGGTTATTATTTGTTCATCCATTACATGTTTTCCCCTTTTGGCTGATGATTAAGTTAGTAATTATTATATATATACAGTATTTAAACATTAGAATGAAAATGTTTGGGCACCCCTTTTCGTTTTTTGTGATTTTCCTTTCTTTTCCAAACAACTAAATCATTGGTTGTTTGGAAAAGAAATGTATCATTCAGGAGAAAAACACAATTGGTTTTTGAGAAGTGAAATTTACATAAAGTTCACAAGAAATATTAAAGCTAAATTATGTATTTGCATGAATTTAGGCACCTCAAAAGAAAAATCCACTCAATATTTTGTACATCCTCTTTTTGCAGAAATAACAACCTCTCAACACTTCCACTGGATTCTGGTGGAAGGAATTTTGCAACTTTGCAGATCATCTCTAGTTCAGTCAGGTTTTACGGTTTCCGAGTATGGACAGTCCGTGTTCATTCACACTGCAGATATGATCTTGTTCCACTGCATGAATGCTTTAATAGATTTGGAGCAGTGTTTAGGGTTGTTGTCTTGTTGATAGATCCAGCCCTGGTGCAACTTCCACTGTCACTGATTCCTGGACATTGTCCTCCAAAATCTGCTGATATTGAGTAGAATCCAGGCGTCCCTCAACTTTAACCAGATTCCCTGTGCCTGCACTGGAGACACACCCACCGCATGATGGAACCACCACCACATTTTACCTGGCTTAGATAGCAAGTGTTTTTCTTGGAATGCTGTGTTCTTTTTCCTCCATGGTCTTGTTTTTCCCAAATAACTACATTTTTGTTTCATCAGCCCACTGCAAATCTCTGTGATAGCTTTTAGTATACTTTCCCTAATCCAGGATGTTGAACAATCTTTGTTTTCAGGTCATTTGAGAGTTGTTTTGAAGCACCCATGTTGCCGTTCTTCAGAGAAGATGCAAAGAGGGGGAACACTTAGACTTGGCCTACTTAAATACTCTTTCTCATGATTGGATTCACCAGAGCAGTGTTCCCCATTTCAGGCAAAAAGGGCAGGTTGGCATATCTGGTTTGAAGGGCACCGGCACGCGGAAACCTCTGAAAATAGGGGCATGCCCAAGATATCATCATTTTCATTATGGGCATTATGTCTTCAATAAGATAAGTCACTGAATTCCAATCAATTCAGTTTTTTTTTTAACTGAGTAATATACATACATACATACTATGCATATCCCTGTATGCAGCCCTGACAGGAGCAGGGCTGCATACAGGGGCTTAGGGACGCTACATCCAGCACCACCATTCAGTCACTCAGCACATTCATTGTACTGGAGATAGATTATTAGTATTTCCATACTGATAAAAATAACATGTAAACATTCTGTGAAATCCATATGCCACAAATTTTATTTTAGCAAATAACATTTTGAGTAATACTGGTCTCAAATACATTTCTCCAAACAAAACAAATGGTTATGTTTGGAGATACCATAACATAACCATTTTTACCAGACACGTGTATTTGGTCTGTTCATCTGAAATGAGACACTTCTTCACCTGGATTTTGCATGTGAACTCGAAGCCCCTGTGAACACACTGTGTTGAGTTCAAAGGGGAAAGTTTAAGTGTGTACAGTATTTTCTATCATTTGTTTTTTAATAAACTTAACCTAAATACGTTTTTTTTTTTTGCCTTTTGTAAGTTAAACATATTTCAGGCAAAAGGTCACATCAATTGACCTGTAAAGTATCCATAATCACAGCTTACATTCTCTGATGAGCTCTGGAGTCTTTGTCTGGTGGGAGACTCATAGCATATTCATTGTCACACTCGTCTATACCAGCTCACACTCTCAGGTTTGTAAAAACTGTCATGAATATCTCATAGGCTGCTAATGCTGCGCGATACATTAGGATCTCAACACATAAAAGTTTTACAAGCACATAAGATGGGTTAAGATATAGATTTAAGAAGCAATGACAACACTGCTAGATTTGAGTTTTGTCGTTGTTGAGGATTGTATATGGTGTGTTTCTTTTTGTGCAGCCCTGGCAATCTTTAAAAAAGCAATAAAAAGCACACTCCCAACTTTTGGAGCCGTTGCTGTACGTTTATTTCAATAATTTAACACCTCTAATCGTTTCTTTTTTGAATCTTGACCCTAGACTAATGCGGCTCATATGTAAAAGTGGGTGTCCTCTACAGATTTTGCTGACCTATGAGTGGGGCCGGGCTCCATGGCCTCTGCTGCATCAGCACCACTGCTCATCGGAGCAGAGGTCACGAGCCCAGAGCCGGACGACACCTGTCTTCATCTGACTGATTACATATTAACACCACACACAGCCAGTGCGCTCCGTGGACCAATGACCCTGAATTTGGACTAGTTCTCCCAAACGCTGCTCACACTGCACCCATTTTATTAATATTTGATGGATAAAACTTCATTCCAACTTTTTTTGTTTTACTCTTTTATCAGCTTGAAGAAAAAACATTGGGTTTGAACAAAATTACACCAGTGCCTACATGGCCCATTTGTGTGACTGTTTTTTAGGAGTCAGGTAGGTTTGAAGGTTTTAGGGAGTAAAATTAACAGATATAGATTTCAATATCCATTTTCAAGAGCCTTTTGAGCTTTGTCCTTTTAAATGGACTGCTCACATGATTGTGTGATTTTCAAGCGATGTGCAGTAACTTTCTTTTAATGCAATCTGACATTTGTTGTAAAAATTATTCTATGCTCATGATTACATGTATTTTTTTGCAGACATATTCTCAAGAGGTGTGTAAAATAAAATCTTATTTTTTTCTGCTGTGTTTCCAGGTAAGCGGCTCCAGGAGTGGATATGTGTAGTTTTGTGCCTCTTTCTTTTCATAATCAACTTTTCCTTCCTCGTACTCCATTTCTCCACTGTTCATATCTACAAGATCATTCTGGGCATTGGTAAGCTGGCCTTCAGATGTTCTATATATTCTTATTGATATTAAAGTACTTGTTTTGGTCCCACAGTCCTTGGAATAGTGACTGCAGATTTTGCATCAGGTATTGTGCATTGGGGAGCTGACACTTGGGGATCGGTGGATATCCCTATTATCGGCAAGGTAAGCAAATGATATTGACTGCACTTAAAATATAATCAAATCAAATAGTTACATTTTACCAGGTTTGGTAGTTATGTTCCCGACTGATCTTCTAGTTAAACAACAAATCTAAAAATGATTGTGTTTTCAATCAATCAATTTTGGTCATAGCACCAAATTATTATTTGATTATTATTGTGACCAATCATTTATACATGAATCTTGAATGTACCAGTGTCATGCTAGTCAATGTGGGTTAAGTGTCTTGCCTAAGGTCAAAATAACAGTTACAGCCATCCCACTGTGCCGCCTGGTGTTCCCAGAGGTCTCCCATCACAGCACACAGTAATCCAACCAATATCGGAGTAACCATTTAAATGGTAGTTTATCAAAACAATGTGTTTTCTGCATGTAATCAGCCGACAATCTTGTCGTGTGTTTGACATCAAAACTGAAATTGAATTTTAAGAGCTGCTTTGATCAAGCTTTTTCAGATAGATACAATACCAAAGATTGTATGTTCCATTACTCAATGACTGGATGATGAGGCTGCTTGATTGTGTGGGACTGGTGGAGAGGTTTGTCTGGCCCGTAGGCACGACCCATTGGATTCAGCCCATGCACCTTGAGAGAAATGCTGCTCCAAGTTTGTGTGTTTGCAAAAATGGAAAGCACCTTGCCACATTGGAGCAGTTTTAGCACCTGTATTTATAAAGAAACAGGTACATTATAAACAGATGAGCAGATTATTTCATAAAAACAGAAACAGTAAACACAAACCTGTAAATGCAAAGTTTGTAACTGTGATTAAATGGTGAGTTTTGCATGTACTCTCTTTGGGATGTCTTAAAAAACTCCTGAGTGTCCTTTTTCTCCTGGGATAGTGTAACCATGGCAGCATGGCAGTTGCACCTCTCTCCCTTGAGCCTCATGACTGCCATAGTGACCTGGAAACGAAATGTCAGAAACTCACATGGGGTAACGATGTCCAATATTTCTCCCACTCACTCGCACATGCCCAGTGGAAATAGCCTCATCGTGAACTCCCACAAGCTGTCATCACAGAGCTCTGCACACATGTTTTATGCATGTAAAGTGCATATATGCAAGTGTGTTTAAGGAAGGATGCACACTTAACGAGATGGCATTAAAACAAATCGCCCACATTAATATACACACATTATTTGGCCACCTTTCCCTTAGCCAATTAGGGGAAAGGTTATTCTCATATCTACCAATTAAAATGTAGGTGATCGGGTGCGGCTTGTAGATTCTTGAGTTTTGTTGTGATTAATGGGACTAGAGTTACATAGTTTATTTCATGAAATATTCATTGAATCTAATTGAAAATAATAATAAAATAATGTGGGAGGTCCTTGGTTGTACTAATTGAAGCTTTGTTCTGCTCAAATTCTTTCTTCACAAACCTGTTAAATATATTTTTCATCTCATCATGCTAAATCTTCTTAGTTTCTGGTCAAGAATAGTTTAAAAGTAAAACAGGAGGCTACTTTTCCTCTGATTGATATTACATAAATACATTTGCAAACAGTTTTTCCTTCTTAAGCTTGTTTGTTTGCGCCGTATGATGTCGCTCACACTGACAATGGCCAGGATAACTAAGACCACACATTATCAGAATCAGTTTAATATTTATTGATTCTGATAGTCATAATACAAAGATGTGTTAATTGCGCAATAGAAAATGTACGCTGTTAAAATGTCATTACTGCGTTAATGTAATTACTGTATTTATGCGTTTAAGTGACTGCTCTAATTAAAAGCAAAACAAGAGTTTATTTAAAGCTTTGTAATTGATTAGATTTTCATAAACTTCCGAACCCCAGCAAACATAACATACTATTAATATCAAGAACTATTTAGGATTTAGAATGAGCCCTGAGTTTCATTAGTGTGTTTTTGGTGCGGAGACTGTCTTTTGTCTTTGTCTTTTGTAGAGCTTCAAAATATCTGTGAAAGTGTGACAGCGCCAACATGGATATAAGAGATTTATACACTCAAATTCATGTTTTCTTTTCCTCACAAAACCCTAGAACACTTGCATTTTGTGCTGCTCTCTTGGCGTTTGCATGTCATTGTACTTTAATTGACTCAATAAGGATTTGCAGCCTCTAATGGCTCTGTCTGCTTTGAGGACGTATGCTCATTAGTTTCCAATGATGCTCGATTCTCAGTGAAATTTGCCAGATGTGCTTTTGGGGGATATTCTATGTGTCTAGTTTAGGTCCTCTGAATACTCTTATGGTTTATTTGTAACCATTCTTTTTTCCTGTTTAGTACCATGTCTATAATTATGCCGTAATGGCTGATGAAGAATGACAGGGAATAATAAGGCCCTGGTGAGATTGACAGTAAATACAAACACATTGAAACTAAAAATAAAATGACTACAAGAGCCTAAAAAGCATTAAAGGACCAGGGGCACAGAGAGAAGGGCTGGAAGGGCATGTCTGTGCAGCAGTGGGACAGCAGCATTACTGGGCCCAGGCCGATGTGAGCTGATGATTAGTGGACGTCGTGCGAGGTGTTCATGAACGATGTGGGATTAGACACGTGGCCAGCACCGGCCCGCCTTTAACTGGGGGCACTGATTTGGACCTGACACGGCATGACCTCCGCTCTGCCGCTTTCATCTGACAGAGGGGCTGGGCCGGTCGCAGGGGGCTGCGGGACAACCAGCAGCAGTCACACCAAAAGGGAATCGCCACATAATTGTGCCGATACTAACAGATGTGTTTTCAGTGACACCTACCAGCCATAAACACCAGATAGGAGCGCTGTATTGGTTTTGAACGGCTGCAATAATGAGTTTTCACGCTGCTGTTTCCACAGCAGTACACTCACGCGCTTGGACACTTATGCAAACGTTCCTTTTTTGCCTTTTCCATTGAGAGACATAATTTATCTTTATCCTGTAGTCTCTTTGTGCTTGTGAGATTCAGATTTGGTCTTTCATTTCAGACCCCCATGCTCTCTCAGACAGGTGTCTGCCTCTGCACAATGCAGGAGCGGTGTGTGTGTGTGCGTTTGTGTCTCACATTTGTCTATGGGCCATTTGTTTGTACGAGTGTGTGGTGGGAGGCCACTGCTATTCAGTGGGTTATTAGGATGCTGGATACAAGCTTTGGGGGGCACACAACACCAGGCACCTCTGTGTACGAGCGTGGATGACTTTCTTTTGCATAAACACCATTATTTCACTCTGTTTTCATTTGCTACTATCCATTTGTGCTTTATTACATTTTTTACAATAAAGTTGTGCTGTTAAACAGACCTTAAATGGTTTCACAATAACCTGAATAATAACATGGTTGTTTAATTAATGAACTTCCTTACTGTCTTTCTTTGTAGGCTTTCATCCGTCCATTCAGGGAGCACCACATCGACCCAACTGCCATCACTCGCCATGACTTTATTGAAATAAATGGTGACAACTGTATGATCCCAATCCTCCCGCTGGCTCACATGGCCTACAAGTTCCTCACTTACTCACCAGGTACAGAAGATGCATGCACACATAAACTTACTCCAAGATTTAATTCATATTTGCACGCTCTTTGTCTTTTTCATCATATTTCTGCAACCACCTTAAATTTAATTCAATGTAAAAGTCTGGAGTAGATCCTTTGACATCTCTATCAGAGACATGGTGTAGTAGTAAAGAAGGATGTGGAGCTCCCAGAGAGAGAGCCATTACAGGAGAGCACGGGCCAATGCCCCAGTCGTCCTTCGTGACCACTGGGTGACCACCACTGCCCTTAGACTACAGGGCAGGATCACTGTGGCACAGACAGAGCAGCAGCTGTTATTGAGCAGGTGACATGTGTCCTGTTATCACACTTACACTCACAGGAAAGGTCACTAATGGACAAAAAAAGTCATTCACCAGCCTTTTCCCAGAACTATTTCTTTCACTGACAAAATGATTCTCCAGTTGCTACTGTTGCCTCGTATAGCACCACTAACATAACATTAATTCATCATTTATTTAAGGAAATATAAAAGCAATTAGTGTGTTCACTTTAACTCCCAATTTACACCGAGCGGCACATGTGACGTAATGTAAGCATAACGCTGGGGTACGAGTGTTAATTAACATAACTCGTCAGGCGCTCTCTGTGGGAGACAAGTCAGGATACATGACGGTGACATGTAAAAACTAGAAATCCATCCTGCTGGTGTAACTTGTTGTGGTTACTACAATGAAGAGCTACAGTAGAACATACACGATGCAAAAACGCGCTGCAGACAGTACTGTAGGTGTAAATTGTGGGTAACTGGATCTGATCTGGTTCACTTTGGGAAAAATTAATCCCAGACCTGTTTTGAAAGTAAACTGACTTCAGTGACTCGTGGACAGGTAGACAGGTCAAGTGAACCAGACCAACAAGTGTGAACGCGCCCCGCCTTTATTGACACATGGTTTTCCAGTGACCAGATGGATTCCTAATAGTGCACAGAATTGTAATTGGTGATAAATTTTCACTCATTGTCATTCATACAAAGTTCAAACTTCTCTTTAATGTTCTACTAGGGGAAAATTGGTTTTGCAGCAAGCAAACATTTAAAGACAGACAAACAGTAAAATAACAATAACATTGAAGAAAGTAAGACCAAGACTTTTGTGAAAATCTCGTAAAAATATGCTTGTAACTTTTTGAGCTATGGTGCAAACTAACTAATTAACTAACTCGCCAGACATTGCTTTACCTCCCAGCAACAAAGGAGAATAAGTAGTTCACAGTTTGAAATCTTTTTGAGACGAAAATTGAATGAAACAATTGCTCCCAATCATTAACGATGAATCATTTTGAACACATACATAGTACATAATAGCAAACATGCTGTAAATTGTATAAAGTGCTATACAGGTATGACTCCAAAAACCTTGATATTATTGAAAAGTATATAACGAGGGGAAGTTTCAGGTCAAGTGTCTTTCTGAGGTGGAGGGGAGTGAAAATGGGGGCAGAGGCGTCACAGATTAGACTTAAACACAGAGACTTTCACAGCTGACACTCCACAGGCCATGGGCAGTGGAGGGGTCAGCAGCCCGCACACACCCACCATGCACACACCTGAACAAGACACGGCTCAGAGACCACACATGGGGGGGGGGCTACAATGACACGGAAACCTGGCCAGTCAAACATGCGGCTGTTTCAAATGGCCTCAGACAAAGGCCGCGACAGGACGACACAGGGAGGATAAAAACTGAGAGGTGACATCTCCAGCTGCTGTGTCACGGTTGAGCTGGGTCAAAAGAGCACTTCTTTAAACCGGAGAAAAGAAGGATTGAGATGGACCTGCAGAGGACGGCTTTAGAGACACACAATCCTACCCTGTTAAAAACCGCATGGCATTTAAGTGTTGACGCAGGCATAATTGTATGTATGCTGTGTGACCGTTCGTAATGCTAATTTCATGTTTCAGTCTCGCTTTTAAATGTGTAAATAACCGTGGTGATGATGATAATGATAATGTTTATTAATGTATACATATTAATCAGCAGGAAGGCTCGCTTGTTGACAGCCTGCATTATCTGGCTCTCAATTACAGCTAATTGGACGCCATCGCGAACTTGTGGGTAGTATTCATAAATGCCAGTTTACCTAACACGCTTTACACTTAAATACCTGATACGTCTTATTATTTACAAAGGTTATTATTACTATTTTTTATGTTGTATTTTTTGGAATGGAAGCGTGTTCAGTGATAACATGAATTTTTCTTTAGGCTAATTTACACCCGCAGTGTCTACGTGTAAATTGATAGTTCATTGTTAACGATTGGAAGTAATTGTTATATTTGATTTTTCTTTGAAACACACATTTTAAACTGTGAACTACTACTGTAAGTCTCCTTTGTTGCCGGGAGGTAATGCAATGTCTGGCGAGTTAGTTAGTTATTTTGCACCATAGCTCAAAAAGTTACAGGCAGATTTTTATATGATCCAATCAGATCCAGGGATCCAGAACCGAATCCAGGGATCGGTTGAGGTCTGTACTCACAATTTTCCCTGTCTCTCTTTCCTAAGTGCACACAAGCATGAAACACCCAGAAAAATCATTACGTTGTGAGGAAAAAGTGTGGTTTATATCTTTGTGTTCTGGACCGCTGTCTGGAGCCAGGAATTTATTGAAGTAATGGAAGTGTGTTTGTGCTCTATGAGGGCTTTTCTAGTTATTTTCAGTGAACATGTTTCTAATAAGCAATAACCCAAGTTACATTCAAATGAACACAAATATGAAAAATGACTTCTTGACTCTGAAAGTGGAAATGTCCCAGGTGGCCCTGAATGCGACATTAATTCTAAATCATAACGCTGACATCAGTACTAAAATGCCTGCAGCCCCGGTGATCGTTCTGTTTCTGTCTTTTTTAATGATGAATTTTTAATTAAATCGCTGTTTCAAGAGGACATCTACATCCCACTGCTGTTTTTATTCCCAAGTCTCCACCTGAGCTCCAGCTGCACCTACCTCCAATAAAATCAGGGCACATTTGACTGTAGCCCCTGGGGAGCCACTAAAGGAATAATGTGTTGTTCTTTTTAAAAGTGGGGGAGCGTTTTTCACACATATATGCAGTAGGCAGTAAACCTGTAGTTTACTCAATTCATAGATTGATAATGTATAGTGGAACAACATTGGTATTTTACTAAATATTTTGTGATATTAACAGAAAAGAATTAGAGACAAGAGGACAGGCACCTGGAAACAAAGTTTAATTTCCACTCTCTTTTTACATCTAACCATTCACAGGTCTTATTTCAAATTATATTCATTTATTGGATTCATGACCCAATTTATTATAACAGAAATCATTTTGATCAATTTACCTTTATTCAACCTGGAATTTTACAGCCTTTGTAAGTAAACAAAGTCTTTGTTTTGGGGAACACCTAAATAATGTACGTATCATTATGTTTCCAGATTGAATAAGAATCTGAAACCCTTAAGATTAAGATATTCTTTTTTCGTGCCACTGTGGGGAAATGTCATGATAACATAGCATGTGATTAGCTGGAATGAGGAACCTTTCTGATCCATATTCCATATTGCTTCTAATCTCTGGTAAAATGCTCTTTTAAGCAGAGTTTTAATCTTTCTCAACCGCAGAGGCCTTGGCGACAGCTTATCCATGGGACTGCTACATCTTTGCTCTGGCAGTCTTTGTAACACTGACAAACCAGATCCACAAATGGAGCCACTCGTACTTCGGCCTCCCGCGGTGGGTCCGGCTGCTCCAGGACTGTCACCTGGTCCTGCCACGGAAGCACCACCGCATCCACCATGTCTCTCCACACGAGACATACTACTGCATAACTACAGGTGAGCTCAACAGGGAGCGTAAACAGGCAGCCCTTCAAATATGCAACATGTGTATTACTGTACATTATTTTAGCTTGCATTAAACAGTTATTGTAGATTTACCCGCTTACCCGTCTAATATTCAACATTCAACGCTGATAGATTCGATAAGGTTGACAGCTGCTGCAATAACATGTTTTCAGTATTTCTCTATTAGAATAAAGCTAGGGTTCCTATCTTTTTCCCCTGATCAATATACTGTATATTTTTGTCCAAACAAAGTCTTGTCAAAGTAAACTATTGTGAATCAGACTCCAACTTGCTGCCTTTATCTTATGAGATTGTTTTTTTTTTTTCCGTAAGAGAGAGCCCTATGAGTCACTATGTTATGCTTTGGGTTGAGAGCTGATTGGCTGAATGAGTTTGGTCCTATCTTTTTAACTTTTCTATCTGAAAATGCTGATCTAAAGATTCTACTAAGGCCAAAAATACAAATGAAATTGTTTTGAGTTGCATGGATTATTACACCAATTTTGTAGTTATCAATTACCCCAGTTTAAAAAGAGCAGGACTCTGAATATGTGTTGTGTGAGTGACCATTTTCTCCATCTTCTCTCTCTTTTCTCTGTAATTAGCTAAAGACCAAAATGGCCACAGTAGATCTGTCAGAACGCATATTTTTCAAAACTAAGAAAACTGTTAGTGTTGATGCGTACGTGCGTTCCTTCAGAGACCGCAGCCTGTGTAATGGATCCACATACAGTATCCTGTGTGCATCTGGGTGAATGGGTGGGGGGGAGAGGATACCCAGGGGGGGGACTGGGCCCGTACGTCACCCTCGGCCCCAATGGACGACAGATGTGTGTGCTCCTCTGCTCTGCATACTCTAGCATCTGTGTGGAGCCTCTTTGACCTCCTCATTGCTTCCTAACCTGTGTGTGTGGGTGAGAGGCTGCTGCTGGTGCTGGTGGTCGTGCAAAAAGGGAGGGGGGGGGACCCACTGGGGACATCCTACCCACCACAGCTCTCCCTCCCTCAGCCTTTCTGCCTGGGCCCGGGCAACTATTCCACCGAGGCTTGCCTGGCTGCCTTTGTGTTCGCCACCGGCTGACAATCCCCATGTATATTTAATGCTAACCTGCTGTCTGTTCTAACAAATAGGACTTCATAGACAGGAGGGGTTTGTAGCAGGAAAACAAATGAAAGAAAGAATTGAGAAAACCAGGGGGTCAGAAACAGAACAGGACACCCACCTATAGCATGTCCCGCAGCCATAGCACCCATAATGCTAACACGCTATTATTGCACTTCAAAGATAAGGCCGTTAAGCTAATATGTATTGTGCTAATGACGCTACATCATAATTAAGCCCAGACCCTGCAGAATTCACTCTCTGGGTCCCATTTTTACTTTACATATTTGATAATTTTCTCACGTCCAAGGTTAAATTATAATTGGCCCAAAGAGAAATTAATATTTTGGGTCATGTGATTGTGCTAGTGGTCTTGATCTTCTACCAAGCCTTCTTAAAATTGTCAGACTGAAACGGACCATTTTATTTAACAAGACGGGACCACGATTTGTTTTTATTTTAATGTAAATTAGTGCTGCTGAAATAAATGAATATTTCGTTGTCAAATAGTCTAGGATTTTTCATTTATTTATTTACAGATTCATTAACTATTCCTTTTATTATTACTATTTTATTTTAATCCTTTTTTTTGCACTTCTGGCAATACAATTTGGGATAACTTAAAAAAAAAAAATTGTTCAGTCAGTGCTGAAATCAGGTTAAATTTAATCAACTTTTACAGATGGTTTGGTGATTGTAATTTTATGGTAGTAGAGGCACGATCGGAATCTGATTTTAGTCGAGAATAGAATGTTTACCATGTGAATACAGTTGTTGTCAGTATGAAACTTTAATAAGCTTTTCTTTTACTGTATATAGTCTCTCTGTATTTGCCTTAGGGCATGCATTTGAACATGTTTACCTCTGACATATTCAAACCCACGTAGAATGTAATCCGGGGTTTGCATAAGGACTAAGGATGTCTCGAGAGACTGGTGCCGCGGTGACACGGTAGAGGATATAGAGAGCGTGTATGATTGGATATAAGCAGCAGAGATGGGGGTTAACAGGAGACAGCTGGGGATGGCCAAATGCATGTAGTCATATGAGAAGGGAATACTCCAGTGGAAAGATACAGAAAGAGCAAAAAGATTGTATGCCAAGGGTTATAATTGTAATTGTAGATAAAATATTGTGTTAGTCTTACTAAAGGAATGTAAGCTCTTCTCTTAGATGTTAGAAAGTTATTTATGCAGCACATGCCTCCTGGGCACATGAAATAATTTAGACACAGTTCTCCCGACGTTTATTTGGGTTTATGTGAACAGCAGGAAGAGGTGCAAGGGATTTGTTTTTATGTGATTTGGGCTGTTGTCAGAACAGAGTTTATAGACTTATTATATTGACTTCTTTCAGGTCGCAAGTTTATTTATAGGACGCATGTTTATTTATAGGACGCATGTTTATTGTCAACTTCCATGTCAGGACCCATTTATTGGTGAATGAGTCTTGACATGGAAGCTAACGGTTCATGTTTGCCTCGTCAGAGTGCGCTCTGTTATTTATAAAGCTTTTATCATCACGAGTCAACAGTACGTTGAACACCTCAGCGTTGAATCATGTTGTGAGTTAAAACAGTCATCTATCAGCTTTGTTTTATCCATCAGCGGCTGGTTAAGTGTTTGGTTTAGTGCGGCCTATAGGTGAATAAGACGTACTTTCTTTTCAAATTTAGCTGGTGTGGTTTATGTACGAGAATGCTGAAAGATCCAGCAATAGTGTATTTAAAAATAACATTGTATCAATATAATTTAACTTTTTCTAAAAACGATTGTTTAACCACCTGATGCATGGCGGACACTAGACTCATCAGCAGATCAGAGCTTTAAAATGAGGCACGACATGAAGGTGCCAGAAGAGGATTTTACACTTCACCATCCACATCTAACTAAAGTGGATTGTGATACATTTATAATAATACTTTGTGTGTAATTTGTTTCAGATTGTATGTTTTTTACCTGTATAAAATATTGATTTACTTCATAATATTTCCTTTTTTCCCCCTTTCTCATGAACACGCCCTCTCATGTGCTTCAGGCTGGTGTAACTACCCGCTGGACCAGCTGGGCTTCTGGAGGTGGATGGAGCGCACCATCCAGCAGTTGACGGGACAGAAGCCTCGATCAGACGACATGGCCTGGGCAAAGAAAACCCACTGACACAAAGCTTAACTCACTTTCCTCATATCTTTATGCTTCTTGCTTTTTGCAAAATATCCAAGATGGTTGCCGTGAACTTGGGTGTGTTCTTCAGTGGTATGTGCTTGAGACATGGGCGCGTCGTGTTTGGAGTTTGGGCTCTCCAAGACAAACGCCATGTCGCCTGGTAAAGGTACATTACATTCTTCAGACACAGTGTGATTCTGATGATGTGTTTTAGAGCAGCTTCTCAGTTAGATGCCTGTGGTAAGATAGATAAGAAATGGTATATTTGGTGTGTGAAATATTGCCGTTAGGATATTGAGTACTGGGATTTTTGAAGTTGTAGATGTGTTGAGATAATAGGTTGTGTTAAAGCAAACTCTACATTATTCAGTTTAGCTTATTTATTATTTTTAACTTTACACACCCAGGAAGAAAGATAAACAGAAAATGGCCATATTTCCGAGATTATGAATTAAAAGAATTTAGAGAGATTTTCAATTAAAAAGGTCTGAAACTTTTATATTTTATTTGTTTAATTTAGGTACAATTGTTGTTGTGTAGTTTTGTTAATTCACTTTGATAGACTCCAGGGAGAAAAGATAATGGAGATCAAAATAAATTAAAAAAAACAATTATATAAATACATGTGCAGTAAATCCCCGATAGCAAGTAGAAGAGCTGCAAATGCAAAGAAAGTCTGTGTGGGTGGCTAAGATGATGTGAAAGACAGTTGAGGGCCGGCATAACACGAGGCGCAAGACAGGAGAGGATCTATCGAAAAATGGAGTGCCCCTGTGGAAAATAAGAGTTTGGACATCCGGTAAAATCTCCCTAAATACCATAGACATTTATAAACTTGTTTTCTACTTTCAAATGATAATGACAACAGAAACTATTCTTCTGACCCTGAGCAGAAGTTTCCATCCCCCAGCTCTCAATAGTGTCCATTCCTCCTTTAACATCTTTGACAGCTTGGAGTCTTCTGTGGTTCTTCATCCTCTCTGATGGTAAAGCTGCCCATTCTTCTTGGCAAAAAGCCTCCGTCTCTTCTGAGTTCCTGTAAATTCCTGAGCCGCCTTGCATGAGCCACACATTTGGGATTTCCTCAGATCAGGCTCAATGATGATGTAGAAAATATATTTATTTGTGTTATCATTTATAATCTCCAAAATATGGCCACAACAATGTCATCTCTGGCTGTATTCAATAGATTTGTGTTCTTAATAACGCCTAATATTAATAATAATGAAAAGTTCTCTTCCAGAGCTAGTGGTGGATTCTAATAGAGTTTAAATATGTTTTTATTCTGCAAGGAAGTGCATCATCTGCCATGTTTTCGGTATATGACGACAGTTTGACAAAAAGAAAATGTGTTTCCAGGATGTTTCTCCAAAGTGTACAATGTTTATATAGAATAGTCCTTTGTGTGATAGAATTAAGACGACAAGGTTAAAAGTGGCTGGGAAAAAGGCATTTTGTTTTTTGGCACTATTTTGAGGAGATTTTTTTGCGTCATGTGCTAATAGGCAGTCAAATGTTGGCTCAAATTTTAGCAAGCTTGTTCACTTGAGATTGAGTTCCCAGTTTGGCGTCACTTAGCTTCTTTCCCCACCTCGCATTGACAGCATTTTTAGCACTAATAAGATGTAATTATGAAGAGGATTGAAAGGGGGACTCACTGCTATACGACATGCCACGATATCAAACCGAGATGACGGTGAAAACAGTTGTGTACGACGCTAATTAGTGCCACTGAACGCCTCACTGTGCTGAAACTGTATAAATGTGTCACAAATCTGTAAACCCTATTGTTCTCTCAGTTTGAAGCAACACAAAGTATAAAGCATTGATCAGACTCAAGTGACTGGTGTTTGCTGCCGCACACTTTGGCTGGTGATGAGGCGGCGTGTGAGGATTGAGGAATGATCAAAGTCAGCGAGGTCAGTGACAGCTAAAAACCCACCAACAACTTTAGGCAAATGTAAAACTTCATGTGTAGGTAATTTGTTTCAACCAGGAGAGTCAAACCGGTTTCAGAAAGGGCCGGTGTGTGGCTGTAGGTTTTAATTTCAACTCGTTTCCTTAAGTTTTCCGGCTAAGATTGAGCTCACTTGAGGAAAGTGGGTGGAGTCTGGCGTGCTCCTGCTTGGTTGGAGCTAAAACCTGAGCTAAGCCACACTGGCCCTTTAAGAATCGGTTTGACATTCCCAACATGTTTCCACAAAATGTCTCTTTTATCTTCATCCCTCACTTGTTCCATCATGCTTTTTTACTTCCACCGATTCAAAAGTGACTGTTAAATTCTGTTCCAAAACACATATCATGTCTTGGTTTATTAAGGCAAGGCAAGTTTTTTGTATAACACAGTTCACACATTCTCAAAGTGCTAAGCAAAACAAGTAAAGAAACGTTAAAATCACACAAGGCATTGAAATCATAAATAATCTCAGTGCATTAAGAATACTTAAGGAACAATTCTTCAGAACTGTTGTTATCTTGGATTTTCACATTGGGTTACAGTAGAAGCCTGTCTCACATTTTCAGGAAGACTGTTCAAGGTTTTAGCTGCCTCACCATAGTAACTGACTAGTATTTTGTGTTAATTTACACACAATCTTGTCTGTTTGTTTTACAATAGCAGCCTCTTAAACCTGTGAAGCTCATCGGAGTCATGCTTTTCTGCTCTGTCACTTCTTTTTGTTATTTCGGGCTTTATAATTTTATAGTTTTTTTTAAGGGAAGAATATAGCCTTGTATAGAGTTACAATTCTAACTTTCCATTTGGCAGCTCTTCGCTCGCTGCTTGTCTGCCTTAATGTTTTTATCTGCTCTTTTGTTTTGAATAAAGGTTTATTTATTCCAGTGACTGATTTATGGAATTACAATTTATAATTCAAAGTCTGTGAACTGTGCAGTATCCTGAAGGTCATTACTTAGTTCTGTGGATGTTCTAGGTTCGAAGTAGGAGCAGAGCAATGTGATAATGTAACAAGTAAAGCAAAGTCGCCCTCTAGTGTCTGAATTTGCCGTTCAATAGAAATTGCATTATCTTCTGAAATCTTCTGAGTTGGGCCATTACAAAAGTGTTTGAGTGCCAGTAATTGAATGAAAAACGTTGCAGTTCCTTTTTCTTTATTGTCTTGAATGAAAATTCTACTCAACTGAATATATTTGTGGAAAACTTACTTACACTGCTCACTATCTTCCTGCAATGAAATGTAGTCTCTGGTTTTTGTACTGGTGTCAGACACAAGGCCCCTGAAATCATCTGTATTAACTTGCAGCATTGATGGTAAGGCTAATATGAGCTATCACGGCATGTTACACCTCATTTTAAATACCTTTTTGAACCCAACACGTACTTATGAAATGCTAATAAAGAAAAATATTGGTCAATTCCTTGAATTTGACCCAGTTTAGTTCAGTCCAAACTATGTATTATTATTTGTTTATTTGAAAGGGACAGACCAAAAAGCATTGTTATTTGTGCCATGTTCATAGGCTATCAGCTAATTTGCAGACCTAGTCCCCAAGACATAAACTACATCACATTTACATAGATCATTAAAAAATACAGATTACACAGTACAACATATTTACAATAGACTATCAGAGTCTTGCATTGTTCTCACAAGTTGGGTTCCTTTTAAGCGGTTGTTTAAAATTTTAAGTAACTGAACTAGTTTTGTTCAGAAAAAATCTAACAGAAATTGTCCAAATACCTTCATCGTGTAAATAATTGAATAAAAATATCCACAGATGAAAACATGACCTTCAAACACTTTTATTGTTTCTTGATCCGGCCCCTGACTAAAATGTGTTTTACGCCAAGTGAATTCAGCAGTCCCTCTTTATAATGACATTTCCGGACAAATAAAGGATCTCTTTAATCTTAATAACCAACTATCAGTGTGTGTATCACTTTTTTAAATACACACACCAAAAGAAACTTACCCTGCCAGGAGAAACCTTTGTCGCTCCCAGTCCATGCAGCTTAACCACAAAATGACCTCCACTGAATCCGTCCATAAAAATATAGAAAACCACAAACTACATACATTATTCAATCATTCTCTTTTCAGCCTTTTTTTTGTGTTGTGTTTTCACCTGGGAAGCAGACTGGGTCACCTCTCCTCAGAGATAAACCTTTCTACTGCTGTCAAAAACTACAGGACTGGTATCCCGCTTGGCTTAACACTCGCAACTCTCATTCCATTACATTTTGCTTGATCCATCTGACACACAGCCAAACACATTCTCTAAAAAACCACAATGACAAAGTGACAATTACTTCCTCTTGTATTTGACTACCACTTCTCTAGAGAGCGCGTCTGCCTGTGGATTTGGACCTTCAGAGGCGCAGGTATTTCAGCCCACACCTTACACACAGAGGGGGTAACATGTTTTTTTTTTTTTTTTTTTTTCAATGCTCAGTGATCTCACATCTTCATATAACTCACTGCTGGAGATCTTTTGTCTTTCCCACATTACTGCCGTCACTTTGACTGTTAAAGCCCGCGCTAACAAGACGCCACACATACCGCAAGTATATTTCAGTTGTTGTGATGTGACTATATCTTGTATATATATTAGTTATTCTATCTGTTGTTTTATTAATCAACTTTTTAACTGTGAGGAATTATATTTTTTAACTCGAACAGTCAAATGCATTCTGATTTGGGGTATTTTATTGGTATTTTTATTAATTGTTTGTTTTTTTTTGTTTAGTAAGTGCTTGTTACGCCTGGCCAACGCAGCCTGGTACTTTCAGCAAACCTTTGTTGTGTTTATTTAAGTTAAGTTCACAAGTTTGAGCACTTAAAGGAGAAAAGCTAAAGGAAAATGTTTTTGGGGGGAATTTTTCAGAATTTCAGAAATTTAATGAGACCAGTCAAAATGACGACTCGAGTTGTATAATTTCAGAATTCTGGAGGTTCTTGTGTTGATATGTAATTGGCAATCCAATTCTATTTGGCATTTCTTGTGTACTAGCCCAATTACAGGACCATGCAAAC